CGATGGACGATACATCTCGATGATTCTGATATCGTTTGGAAACATTCTCGATTTTATTATTTAATGCTTTCGACTCAATTTTGCTGTCATCCTCAGTTCCAGAAAAGAAGCTTTAAATGCATAATAAAATTCTTCTGAGAGATTTGATATAAAATTCACACCATTAATACTTGTTATTAATAGGTTTAACTTTGATTTTGACTTATTCGTAAAAAGATATTGCACCAATTTTTTTGAAAATGTAAAAGTTATTTAACACGATAAATTATAACGATTCGTATACGTGCATGGTAGACATCTGGAAACTAGCACAGCCCTGTAAAGTCTTTTTGCGTATCGCGGCGGACAAAGCTTTTAATTACGTTTTCTTGCGCGTAATGGCGGCAGAAAGAGAAGTCAAAGACAAACACAAAGGCCCTCGAAACGCAGTTCCCACTCGCTATCGGCCGTATTTAAATGTGCCCGTTAACGTTGTTACCGAAGATAACGGGATTTTAATTGGTAACGATAATACGCGTTAAAATCCATATTAACTCCATTACAAGCTATTGTATCCAATTAACGTGGAATCGAATTTAATACCTGCTTTTAAACGATTAAAGCGCGTCACTATCAGACTTGCGTAATCGATCGCCATGTAATTATCGTTAATGATCTTACGCCTTTTGTAGCGCAAATATTATATCGCCAGCGATACGTTGTCTCCAAAGTTGATAGAACTATTTTTTTTATTATTTCTGTTGGGAGTGTTGGAAATTACCGACGCACCTCGTCCAAATGCAATAACCGATATCGAGGCGAAGTTACGCCATCGGTTACAACTTAATACATCGTACCGTTTCGAAACCGTCATTAATTGTTCGCCGCAAGAAACTGTGACAGTCTCCGGGTATGCATTGCATTCGGTTTGCAAGAGAATTGCATCCACTGCACAATACCTTCTACCAGGTTTCTTTGAACACGGCAAACATTATCGTTCTCCGAACTCCAGCAGTTGGAAACTTCCAGGGCTCGCGTTGTACGATGACTTTGTCCTCGCGCGATACCAATTTTATCATTATGTAACGTCGCGGTTACTGGACCGAAACCATAACACGGTTTTACTCGATATTCGTATTCTCAACTATTCCTCGAAAGTAACATTCTAATACAATCTGGAAACAATACTAAAATAATTACAGAATTACTGTTTAAATATCGCAGAATGTATACTTGAGGAAATCCAAACTTCTTATCTTGAGATTTTATTTTCGTTTTACTTTTCTTGGAACGGTTGTCGCAGAAATTAATTTCATTTGCACGATTGTTGAAAACGTTCAATTTCCCTGGGAATTTTTACGATTTCTCGCCAAGACGTGGACCGCGAGAGAAATAGTGGATCGTAAATTTTTTAATTTCCCGACAGTTACCAGTTTTAAGAGACCGTGAACGGGGAAAAGTTGCGAAAAAGTTCCGGCTTTTATATTTTGCGGGTTCGTTGCAGCTTTCTTGATTCGAAACAACTTGGCTCTGCGTCGCCTAGTCATTCGTAGCACGTTCCTTTATTCTGTTCCATTTTGCTCCCGGTACGTGGCTTGGTCTACCCAGTTTGGCACAACGAACTCATACGTAAACGGTTTACACAATATTTGCTATTTTACCATATCGAATGTTCTCGTTTAAAAATTAACTCGAATTGTGTACTGTGTTATAACACGAGACTCGACGTGCTCGTTTTAAAACGCCATTTTCTTCCTCTATCGTCAAAATACAAAATATTATCCGTTCGTACTGAAATACAAACTAATTTAATTCAAGAAATTTACAATAAATTGTCTAAATCGAAAAACAGTAACTATTTAATACATTTTGATATTTCGTAACTTAAAATTTTAAGATATTTAGCAAAGCAGAAATCAACATGCATACGTAAATACGTAAATGCATACAGAATTTTGTAACTTGACTCTTTTATATTTTTGAAACCAGAATACCTCGAAATGGAAAAACCGGTGAAATGTTAACCGATAGGAATGGTTTCCCCGTGTTGTATCGAATGAGAGCCAAGAAAAGAAATATAGAAGTGCATTTGCACGTAAATCAAACGTTTCATTCGCGCTCTGTTTGTTCCTAGTAGTTCGAATCAATGCTGTCGCAGACGGTCTCGTCGAAAACGCTTTCTGTCACGTTGACCGGACCTGCTCGCTGATAATTCGATCGACGATCTAATTCGAAGAAACGGAGGCCGCGGGAACGCCATTTGCGCGTAACCGAATCACGCGGCTCGCTGATCTTATTCGAACCCGACGGTTCTTACTTTTATCGCGTCAAGGAAACGATATGACATTTTATGGAAACGTCCGGTGGAAAATGCTATTTAAATGCGGCCAACGAATCGACGCGGTTGAAATCTGTTTTAATTCGCTCTTCTTTAACTTCGAGCACAATATTTCCAGAGGACATGCTCGAAACGCGCGGATAATCTTCCTCGTTGCTGCTAATTAACACTTATCCATAATAACGTAAGCTCTGTGAACAGTTTACGGTCGATGTTATTACATTCTTATATTATTTTTATTAGCATGAAAGTTGAATTTATCGTTTTTTTTTCAATTTGCTTCCCAAAGTCTACTTAGAATAAGTAGAACATATTCTTTATCAAAGATAAAATGGTTGAACCCTACACGCACGGTAAAAAATAGAAAATTTTTCTTATAACACCGCGTTGAAAGCATGGCGTCGCTCGCGAATAAAATATAAAAGCATAAAGAAAGGAAAAGCATAAAGTTTCACAAAGTAGCTGTTCTTTGTCAGCTGATGCATCGGTAACCTGTTTTGCTTGGCGCTTTTATCGTATCCCTAATATCCTTTATTCTTCTCGAGCAATAGTTTCCTTAAAATGATCTCCCTTTGCGATGATTTCGTTTAGAAAATGCAGTCTGAACTTTCGTTTGGTATTTTCTTGCAATTTATTTCAATAGCGAACGTGCAACAATTATTCTTTCTTATTCCGAGATATTTTGTTAATTGTCCATTTTATAATAACAACATAAACGTGTACAGCAACTCTGGAATTTCTATGTAGATTTTTATGCTCGATAAAAGAATTCTTATAAAAATTCAAGTGCTACGAAGAAATATACGATAAAGTATTTTCATCTCGCGATTACTTGATTGTTAGCGTGAACCGCAATTACCGGCAATTTTCATATATTTCGTTGAAACGCGAATAACAGCCGACTAATTATGGCAGCTCGAGCAATTATCTCTCCGTAATCTGACCGCGTTAATTGCCATTTTTAACTGTTGATGATTTTTTAACGTGGAACAGGGAAAAATTATTAAAATTTCACAGAGAAATAATTACAGTCCATCCACGCGTCGACTATTGCGACTAATTTCATCGTTAATTAAATTTCTGGCACCTTAATGCAAAATAGAAGTCGCAATTCATAATACGCGAATAAATCGCGTATTTCACTCATTGTCAGATTTTTTTAAACACAGTCCTATCAAAATTGCTTCTTCCATGCAAGTCAGAGAAAAATAAAATTAAATAAATTTTTTATTTCTTGGACAAATTCATTTATACATACAAGTATAGAAATACAAAAATAAATTTCCACGTTAGCAATAGAAGTTTCTTTTTGTGTTGTGTTTGTTTGTGAAGATCATTGACTTTCATGAAATTCCTATTCCATAAATCTGACATTTTTTCTTATCAATAATGAAGTCGTCGTGTTTGGAAACTCAGCCTGTATGGTATAATATCGATAAAAGTGCGAAAGAATGATGAATCTCGTTACTTTTCCGAGTCAGCGCCACGCAGTGATATGGGTCAACGGTGGCAGCGCCCCGTTGTTTTCCTCCCTATTATTCCGAGGGACAATTTGAATGAGAGAATATAAATTATCCGGGGCTCATTGAGTTCAATGGGAAAACAAGCATAAATGGTCGAACGTTCGATTAAAATTGAAATGTTCGTCGAACTCGTTCCTTGGATCGATGACCGTGGCTCCAATATCGACAATGAGCGCGCATAATTGCGGTGATTTTGTATAATAGCATAATAGCCGATGCTCGCGAAACGTTGAACTTCGAGGAACAGTTTCGAACTTTACAAAGAAAATTTGTAAAAAACCAAGCATTACGTAACTTCTCGATCGGCTTCCTCGAGAAATATTCTTGTCTGGCAAACCGCTAATGAAATGAAACATTAACCCAGAGTCTTCGTAACATATTCAGCGTTAGAGTCTCGCTTTGTTATATAAGCTCACTGTGTTGATATAACCGGGAACGAAACCAGCAAACCAAAAACAATGGAGCACCGTGAAAGAATAGATCGACGTTGGAGGGTTCTTTGTAGTCACCGTGCACTCGAGAACAGTGATGTTTAAGTTAATTAATGGCTTGCTCTACGGTAATGTTTCTTCGTTAAAAAGGCATTTATTACGGTGTAATGTTTCGAAACTCTCTTTCCCGACACGCCTCGTATACACAAATACGAGATACAAATTCCCAAGTATTCTGAAACACTTTCGAAAAGATTTATTTCTTTTAGAAATGATTAAAATAAAAATCTGACAAGTAAATCATTTTTTAGAGGAACAATCTTTGCGAGTACCTTTAGTTCGCGTGCTTAGCATCGAATTCCCAAGGTAGACAAGGCCCGATGCATGCAACGCGAGTCGCCAGATCTTTATCGCGGTGTCCGAGGGCGTCGCGACGCTACGGGAGCCACTTCGAAACTGCGGTTGGCGCAGATAAGAACTCGCTCGAATTTGCTCGGCGAAGCACGAGGACGTGAAATTGGAAAGGAAAGGAAGAGGCGTAGCGACACCTCCGTACGCCCGCCCGTTTCCGTTTTCTGTCTTTCCGCGTCCGCCATGAATCGAGTTCCCCGTTGACGTCCTCGTTCTTCCCTTTCATCGCGTAGGGACCATCCACGGCCCCGGCACCACCTTCCAGAAGAAGCCTTCCCCGACACTTTAACCGAATGGAACTGTCACCGTGTTTTTCAGGTGGACATCACCGAGCTGTGTCCCTCGGCCACCGTTCTGGCACAGCAATTGACCCACGTGGAACTCGAGAGGCTCTCTTATATCGGCCCTGAAGAATTCGTCCAAGCATTCGCCAAGGTACGTGTCTCCACGCTTTTCTCGATCAGCGTAATCGGAAACTCTTGTACCCTCAACCTCCTTCGTCGTCAACTTTTCTCTCGATACGTTTAAAAATTGTTCGCTCGCCCTTCTCGAAGACTAATTCAAAACACTTTGATGAATTTTATCTAGAGAGTAACTTCTTAAAATTTTTTTATGTATTTTTCGTGTAATGTCAAACAAATTTATTAAAAATCAAAAACGAAATTCTAAGAAAAATTGACACGAGGTGCTGAAATTTTTCGGCGAAAATAACAAATTTCAAATCATTCTAGAAAAATTATTTCCTGTTGCAGGGGTCCATTGTAATCATTTTTGGTGAATAGCATACCCCCAAAATCCTAACGATTTCCGAAAAAAAAATTCAGTAAGTGCCTAAATTTTTCGGCAAAAAGGAAAAATTTCAAATCGTTCTGAAAAAATTATTTTCGGTTGCAGGGGTCAATTATAATCATTTTTGGTAAATAGACATACTCTCGAAATCCTACGCAGTTTCGAAAAAAAAATTCAGTAATTGGAGAAATTTTTTAGCGGAAATAACAAATTTCAAATCATTCTAGAAAAATTATTTCCTGTTGCAAGGGTCCATTGTAATCATTTTTGGTGAATAGACATATACCCAAAATCCTAATGCTTTTCAAGACAAAAATTCAGTAAGTGCCTAAATTTTTCGGCAAAAAGGAAAAATTTCAAATCGTTCTGAAAAAATTATATTCGGTTGCAGGGGTCAATTATAATCATTTTTGGTGAATAGACATACTCTCGAAATCCTACGCAGTTTCGAAAAAAAAATTCAGTAATTGGAGAAATTTTTCGGCGAAAATAACAAATTTCAAATCATTTTAGAAAAATTATTTCCTGTTGCAGGGGTCCATTGTAATCATTTTTGGTGAATAGCATACCCCCAAAATCCTAACGATTTCCGAAAAAAAAATTCAGTAAGTGCCTAAATTTTTCGGCGAAAAAGAAAAAATTCAAATCGTTCTGGAAAAATTATTTCCGGTTGCAGGGGTCCATTGTAATCATTTTTGGTAAATAGACATACTCTCGAAATCCTACGCAGTTTCGGAGAAAAAATTCAGTAATTGGAGAAATTTTTCGGCGAATTTAAAAAATTTCAAATCGTTCTGAAAAAATTATTTTTCGTCCTTCCCAGAGTTTTCAGCCTCCCTCGTCGTCAACTTTTCTCTCGAGACGTTTAAAAATTTTTATTACTGTTACTACGGAGTAACTTTTTAAATCTCTTTTATGCATTTTATATTGACCAATAATTTCAATTGTTCCAGGAATCTCCCCATCTGGAAACATCGTTCAAGGACATGAAGAAAACGCGTAATCTCGAATCGTACGTCCAGTGGTTTAACAGGCTGAGCTATTTCGTGGCAACGGAAGTGTGCAAGGTGCATTGTAATATAATATCTGTGTTCTAGTAAATGGAAACTCTTTTTTAAATTTGTTACATTTAAATTTCAACTTCGTTAAAAGACTGCTACAGCGTACGCCGAAGGAATAGAAAAAACGTTTTAGAATTGTTAAAATTCATAACATCCTGTCGGACGGAAGCAACGTTTTTTTTATTTATGGCTGATCCCTTCAATCAGGCTCAGATGCGAAAATAAAAACTCGTAGCTTTGCTATCGAATGTTATCGGTAGAATTCAGAGGATGCACAGTTCGACGCTGGTAAATAGAACTGGCAAATAATCCTGTTCACCATTTTATAGCATGCAAAAAAGAAGCAACGTGTACGCGTGGTTGAATATTGGATCGAAACAGCCCGTGAGTGCTTCAACATTGGTAATTTCAACTCTCTGATGGCGATCATTGCCGGTCTGAATATGTCGCCGATATCTCGTCTGAAGAAAACGGTGAGCGATTCCTTCAATTTCATTCTTATTGCATGCTAATATATTTGTTGCCTCGTAATTATAACGTTCCTTTATACATCGATCAAACATAAAACTATTATTTTTCTGCCTCAAAAAGTGCAACAAGTAGTTTTGAAATTGATGCACTTAGAGTTTGTATGAGAAATTGGTTTATGTAGATGTCTGACTAATTCTGGATACGTACTACTTAAGACTACTAATTTCTATGTGAGATCTCTTAATTCCCATATACATATAATAGTTTGTCCGACTGTCTATCGTATTAATATCTATGTACGAAGAGTGAAAATGTGTGTAAGAAGTTGGATTAGATAGATGTCTGACTAATTTTCGATACGTACTACTTAAAACTAGCGATTTCTATGTTTCTATTAATTTATCTTCTAATTTTCATAACTTTAAGTTTCTTGGACTATCTATTGCGTTATTGTCTATCTATCAAAAGTAAAAATTTGTATTATGAAGTTGGTTTAGATCGATGTCTGACCAAGTCTCGATACGTACTACTTACAACTACTGATTTCCACGTTTCTATTAATTGATCTACCAATTTCCATAACTATAAGTTTCTTGGACTATCTATCGCGTTATTATCTGTCTACCAAAAGTGAAAATTTGTATTATGAAGTTGGATTAGATAGATGTCTGACTAATTTTCGATACGTACTACTTACAACTACTGATTTCTACGTTTCTATTAATTGATCTACTAATTTTCATAACTATAAGTTTCTTGGACTATCTATCGCGTTATTATCTATATACCAAAAGTGAAAATTTGTATTATGAAGTTGATTTAGATCGATGTCTGACCAATTCTCGATATCTACTACTTACTACTGATTTCTTCGTAAACTCTGTTAATTTTTATCCAGTACGAAGTATTACAGGATTGTTTTCTATAATTTTATAGTGTTGCAGTTGGATTTACAATACACCTGTGCAATATTGCGTTAAAATTTCGGTTATTTGAAAATTCTATAGCATTGGAACTCGATTTAATGTATATTTAATATCCGACTCTTGGTCGTAAGTTCTCGCGATTAAAAAACTTAATTTTGCCATAGGGATCGATTGATAAAAATTCAAATTATAAACGAAATTGTACTAGTGTTTTAGATGACAAAATATGGATGCTAGAAAACGAAGGATGAGAAGCTGTTGAATTATTAATAACGAGGGGAAATGTGAAATAAAAGCTATGTCGTTTATAAATAGTATGCAAATGAACCGATTGGTTCATTAGACGATCAAACGAGGAGGGAGGAAAGTAATCGATCGTAGGGCATAAAAGCGATACTTTTAAGAGGCGTTCTCCAAGCTACTCGGTTCCTCGGCGGAACGATGACATCCACTCGGGAAAGCGTTAATACGGGGATGGCACGTAGGATCGGCCACGGTCGTTTGCACCCCCGTACAAGGGGATGGGCACGGCAATAAGCGGTCTGTAATCCTCGTAAATCGAGCGTGGCGCCGCGACGACCAGCGTTAGCCGTGACGAATCGTTGAGAATCGAATGTTCTCCGACGCGAACGAACGCGGGAACGGAGAACAATTTCGAGAGGAAATACCGTCGAAGAACGGGAACGCGAACGAATTGATTCGCAGGGGGGTAAAAAAAAAAAAAAAGAAGGAACGCATTGCAAAGTGGGCGGAGCTGTTTTAATTGAATTTTTTTCGTCGCTGTTTTGCGAGTTCGATTGAAACGTACAACGGGAATCGAATCAATCAAGAAGTCGAGGAACTCTGATTTTTAAATACTTTAATTTCCGCTTTCGTTCGTTCGATGGGGTTTCGTAAGTTTCCACCGGTCCCTTTGTGCCACGGGTCGACGTTTTTTCGCGTAAAAATTTTGATCCCGTAAATTAATAGAAGCGGGGACGTACTTTGTCAAATATTAGCCCGTCAGTCGCGTTTAAAGAGGGAATTAGTTCGTTTATGATGGATTAGAAATTGTATTATACGATTTACGGTACCATCAGTTTAGATTGAAACGGTTTTCAATGGAATTATTGCTCGTCGAGAGCACTTTCCACGTTTATTCACTGATTCCTTTCTCCATTAATCATATCGGATAAGATTGCGTCGAGGGTGAATAAAATTCCCAATGGCTGCTGTTACCGGAGAACTCTGTCAATTAAACTGTGCCATAAATCTCTATCTAAACTTCGTTTATGGAAACTTCCATTTCGTTTCTTGCGCGCGTTGATAAATATCTGTTGTTTCCTCTTTGGATGTTGATCTTTGGTAAATTCTACTGGACTTGTATTTAGTATATATAAATACTAACTTACGTTTCGCGGAGATACGTTGCGACGAAATACCAACAACGTGGAAATTTTGAAACGGAAGCAAACGCAATTTAATCAAAGTCGAGCGAAATTCTTGCGTGGTCGATAAAAATAAAAATGTCACTGTTAAACAGTGAAACGAAGCGTAACGCAAATTTATTGCAGTCCTACGTTCACGAGGGAAGAAAAAAAAAGGAACTTTGCATTCCGATCCGTGACGCTGGCGAAATAATCGAAACACGTGTCGCTCGCAGCGATTGCGTTTCCCCAGGAATGGGAGAAAAAGGATTCAATACGTATGCCTTCATGTCAGTTTCTCGCGATATTGCTACCTTCCTGGTACGAGGACGTCTTCATATATTGTCCTATTTTCCTCTTTTCCAACGGAATATTACCGTGGAAAAGACGGCGCACCTGAAAGAAAATATTATAGGCTCCTTCGATCGGACGTCTATTTGTCAAATAATTATTTCGACAAAGGACTCCGGGGATATTAAAAGAGACAATGAATCCGTTCGCGGAGAATGATCGGCTTAATAATTACTCTCTCGGGAATGAAAACTGCCTACGACAATTTCACCTTGTAATATTAGTGAAAGAAGTATCTCGATTTTACGATTCCTTTTAGTCTTTGATTATTTCCATACTCGATGGCAGGATAATCGACTGTAGATGGGTATTAATAAGTCTGAGACTGTGATCGAATTACTAAAAAGTGACTTATTTCGAAAATTGTTTGCGTATCTTTGGAGCGATCTATGAATCGCAACGAAGGTGTCCAAAAATAATAACTCTATCTCATGGAAAATATATTGGTATAAACTCGAAAGATATCGACGATCTGATTTAAATGAAAATATTTCCCCCGACGGGCGTCCCGTTGGCCACAATTTCATCGCAAATTGGATTAAACGGGGGGGATGGCGTGCGAATGAAAATGTGGCGGTCATTACAGTAAACAAAATTAAATTTTTTCTCTTAACTTCCCTTCCGCCCTCCCGCGTTACGCGCATAAATATGTTCGTAAATATTCTTGCCAACTGGGCTGTTTGTAATAAATATGTCACGGCTGTGCCCGGCTCTACAAATGAATTTATACGGCAGTATGGCGTATTTAGCATATTAAGTTATGGCGACATAATTGTTGCGAGCCTTCTAACCCCGCGACGCTCGAAACAGTAAAAACAGCAAAGGCTGAATTAACGGGGAACGTAATCTGCAAAGTGTATATCTCGAGTGAACATAGGTTCTTTGTGAGAAACATGACAAACAGTACAATTTTTTATTTAATTGCACCTAAATGTATTATTAAAAGTCACTGTCGTAAAAATAATCAAGATTTTCCAGTAACTTGATCGCAAAGGTATCATAAAATTTACGGTTAAAAGACACTTGATTATTTTTTTAAAAAAACCACCCTCGAAACAGAAACCTGTGTTAGATTATTTTATTTCGATGGATGTAACCGAAACACGTTCAGAACAATCGTCGAGCGCGTACAACTTTATCGGGAAGCTGGACAAATTGCGAGGCGGAACGGAAACCATTAAACGTTTTTTCTCGTTTTTAATTACGAGACCGGGCCAGTGTTCCGCGGACATATCCCTCCGGCTCTATTCGATGCGGACTGTTATTCCAGGGTTCATTTGGTACGGCCAGCTGATTTATACAGGGCACGCTTAAAATAATTGCTGGAACTATCAGCGACCAGGCGGCGTGGGTCGCTTCGTAATTTGCGTTAATGAAAATTTAACGCTCTCGTTCGGTCACGCACGCGCGTTGTTTTCACACCCTCCGTTCGCCCGCGTGTTGATCGTTGTCAGTTCGCGAGAACATTCGCGAATTTCTCGCCCCTGACAGGACGAATCGTTTTTTCGCGCAATCGCTTAACCTTCACGTCCATATCTCCATGTTTCGTTTAAAAATTCCTACTATTCTCGTTGAAATTCCAATCTCTCCTTCTTTAAATAATTTTACGTTGAAAGAATCTACATGCAAAATTAATTAAAAATCATCCAATAAACAAATCTCCTGGACATCTTATTTCTCGAATTATAGATGACCAAAGAAAATTTTCGAACCGTTCACACTTTGCTTTTGATAATTTCTTAAGTCCCAATTAAGAATATTTTCAACTTAAAATGTATAAGATCAAAATCGAGCAAATCAGGTAAAAGCTGAATTTTCAGAAATCTTGAACGACCATTTCTGTTTAAGTTGCGTGAGATTCGAGCTAGAATAGAATAACAATAAAATGTTTTCGAGTTGAAAATATTATCTGCAACGTGCAAGCAGTATCGAATAAGATGTATTTTCTAAACTTTTCTCGTCCTAAAAGTGTATGATCAAATCTGCATATTATTTAAACAAGGCGGCTTTCGACGGTGTCCAACGCAAATCGCGTGAGTCAACGAAAACTTGGACCACTTTTCTACTCGAGCAACGTCGAGTAGGAATCGAGAAGAGATCGCGAAAGGGAGCTGAACGTTTCGAGTCCACCAGAAGACATCCGCCCTCGACTTCCATTTACGAGGCCGTGGAAGTTCCAAGTTCCGCGTAGTTTCGTCTCGAAACTCGGCGTCGAAAGCCCGACGCCCGTTGGTATCTTCGTTGGCTCGCGTTTCGAGGGAGGACGCCGATACGGCGACGTCGGTGGAAGATGAACGATACCGACCCGCGTCGGGTTAA